TTACATTCCACCCAGACATTTCCTTCTTTTATGATTGGTCTATTCAAGTGTTTTACTTCTGTCCATGAGTAGGTCATAAAAAGACTTCCCCACAAAAAAAGCCCTGGTCCTGCATACATGAATTCTACCAAACATTCAGAGAACTATCACCAATTCTAGTTAAATCACCAACTGTACCTAAATTATTTTAAAAAAAATACAGACGAAATACTTCCGAAGTCATTCTATGAAGCAAGCAAAAATCGGCAAAGATAATAACAATAAAGAAAACCACCAATATCTCTAAAACTAGATCAGTATCTTTCATGAATATAGATGCAAAAATCCTTAGTAAAATCTTGACCAATAGAATTCAACAGTACATAAAATAAACAATTCATCATGACCAAGTGAGATTCATAAGAAGTAGGTAAAGATGGCTCAATATAAGAAAAATAGCACAGCCACTATAATTTATCACATTAACAAAAGAAATAACAAGAACCACATGATCCTATCAATTGATGCAAGGAAAGTATTTGTCAAAATTCAACACCGCTTCCTGATTAAAACACTAAAAAAAAAAAATAGGAATAGAAGGAAATTTTCTGAACATAGTAAAAAGTTTATACATAAAATCAAGAACTACCATCATTCTCAATAAAGAAGGACAGGGACCATATAAGGATGCCCCCTGTCAGCACTCCTATTCAATATTGTATTGAAAGTACTTGCTAGGGCAATAGTACAACAGAAGGAAGTAAGAGACCATCCAGATTGGTGAAGAGAGGGTGAAACTGTTGGTATATTGAGATGATATTATAAGTGTACACAGAAAATCCCAAGGACTCAACAAAAAAGCTGTTAGACCTAACAGACTAGGTTAGTAGAGTGGCAGGATATAAGACAAATACAAAAAATAATCAGTGGGATTCCTCTATAGTTACAAAGAAAACATATAAGAAAACTAAGAAAGCAATACCACTTATAATAGCCAATCAGAAATTGAAAAACTTGAGAATAAATCTAATAAAAACACAAAGTACTTTTATTTAAAAAAAAAACTATAAAACACTACAATAAGAAAAAATAAGAGACCTAAATAAATGGAAAATATTCCCTGTTCATGGATAGGAAGGGTTAATCGAGTGAAAATGACAATACTAACAAAGGAAATATACATGTTCAACACAATCTCAATATAGGTACCAAATTCATTTTTCAAAGAGATAGAAAAGGTAATTGTCAAGCTCATTTGGAGAGAAAAGAGACCTTGAATAAGCACTTCTGAAAAACAAAAATGAAGTGGAGGCACAACACTCACTGGTCTCAAATACTTACTACATAGAAATTACTTACAGCCATAAAAATCTTAACAGCATGGTACTAGTACAACGACAGACACAGACCCGTGGAACAGAATTGAGAGCTCAGAAATTAACCCATCTACCTACAGGCAACTGATGTTTGACAAGGAAACTGAACCTATCAAATGGGAGAGTGACAACATCTTCAACAAATGGTGCTTGAAAAACTGGATTTCTACCTGCAGAAAGCTGAAGTAGGATCCACATCTCACATCATGCACAAAAATAAACTCAAGGTGGAGTAGATACCTAAGGGTAAAGCTCCAAATCATAAAGATAATAAAAGACAATGTGAGACCAAATTTAGAAGCCCTAGCCTATGGTATAAATAGGTTGGCAAATACAACCAGAATTACACTGCTAGGAGAGGATATTCTAAAGATTAAGTCCTTGTGTACATCAAAAAATCTTTTACAATAAGGTGGGGGGAAATACCTGCTGACTGGGAAAAATTTTTGGCAATGACATCTCAGACGGGTCTCATAAGGAAAGTTTAGAGTACTATAGGGCCTCCACAAAAATAAGACTGATCACACAATTACAAAATAGGCAAGAGACAGAAAAAGATTTTTCACAGAAGAAGAAATTGGGATGGCCAACAGACACATTAAAAAATGTTCAAAATCACTGGGAATCTGAGAAATGGAAACCTAATCACAATGAGATACCATCTTTCCCAGTAGCCATGGCAAAGCTTAACAAAACAGCAAGCAATAAATGCTGGAGAGGGTGTGAAAAGATTGGCACTCTCATACACTGCTGGTAGGATTGTAAAATGGTACAACCACTCTGGAAGGCAGTTTGGCATTTTCTCCAAAAGCTGAACATAGAAATACCATATGATCCAGCTATTCCACTGTTGGGGATATATCCCGAGGAAAATGGAATTGAGATGCAAGTGGAAATTTATACATTGATGTTCTTAACAGCATTATTCACAATAGCAAAAACATGGCAACAGCCCAAATGTCCATGAACAAAAGAACAGATTAAGAAATTGTGGTACATTCACAAGATGGAATACTATGCAGTACGAAGGAGAAACTATTTTGAAAAATACTATATAATATAGGAAATGCTAGAGAGCATTATGCTGAGTGAATTAATTCAGTCTCATAAGGACAAATACTACATACAACCATTATTATAAAGATAACTGGTAATACATGGAAAAGTCCAAAAGGGGGGATGGGTGTAAGGTAAGGGTGTTGAGAGTGGGGAGGGTGGAAAATCATGTTTGGTGGGCAGAAAGAGACCTTGAAAGAACTAGGATAAATCTTGTAGAGAACTGAAAAGATGGGGTGACAATGGGCACAGATCAATGGTAACTAATTTTATAAAACACAGTGTACGGGAATGATTGTATAGAACAAAATGTGAATGAAGGAATATGTGAAACACAAGGTACATGAATGAAACACAATGTATAAAAATTTTATATGCAAACCAATACAAAGCAAAAAAGTAAAAGAATGAAACTCCTCCATAATCTGAGGGTTGCCTGTGTATCCTAATTTACATATCCCTCTAAATTAATTTTTAAAAGCATCATCTGATGGATTAACAAACTGTGGTACATTCACATGATGGAATATTATGTAGCATGCAGGAACAATGATTTTGAAAAGCATTGTATAACTTGGGATGAACTGGAAAGCATTATGCTAAGTGAACTAAGTCCCCTAAGGACAAATACTGTATAAGATAATTATTGTAGAAATACAAAGATAACTAGTAAATTGTGTATGAGGATCCAAGGGGGAGGGGTAGGAGGAGAGGGGCGAGGATGGGCGGAGGGTAATCATAGGGTCACATAATTTGATGGTTAGAGGGAGAAGTGGGTAAAGGAAAGGAGAAAGATCTGGTGTGAAAAACAATGTATATTAATTTTGTAAGCAAACCAGTATTAAAGAAAAATTTTATTTAAAAACAAAATAAAGAAAAATAACATAAAAAAAAAGAAGCAGCATCTGAGAGCGGGACAATGAATAAAGATGAAAGACAAATAATTGCTGTGTCTTTGTGCTGTGGTGCTGGAGAAGATGGATCCATTCCAACTCGATTGTACACAACAAGAAGAAGGTATGGGACCAGAGATCGAAGACCAAAGGAACAAACAAAGATGTCTTGGAGAAGTACGGCCAGAATGCTCCTTGGAGGAAAAGATGACAAAGCTTCGTCTCACATACATTCAGCATGTTGTTAGTTCAGACTGTTCCTCGGAAAGTGCTATCCTGCTTGGAAAGGTGGAGGGTCATCAAAAGAGATGAAGAACCTCAATGAAATGGATTAACAGTGACCGCAGCAATGCACTCAAGTATGTCAGAAAGGATGAAGATGCTGTAGGCTAGGACTGAGTTCAGATCTGTTGTTCGTAGGGTTGCTATGAGCTGTACTCAACTTGACGGAACCTAACATAACAACAACTAAGTTATTCCCCACAAAAAAGATGAAAAAGAAAGTAAGTAATGACATTCAACATAAAATTTAGTACTTAAATATTATTAATAATTACAAATAGACCTGGGCCAAAATTCTTAAAGAAAATTTAGTTTCTCCTTCATATCATTCATTGAAAAGAATTACTAGAACAATGCCTTCCAACATAAACTGAGAAGAATATGAAGACTTTCAGAAAATGTTAACTTTTTTCTTTCCACAAACAGAGTGGGTGATAATAAAGAAATATCAAAGGTATTTTAATGGAAACTATGATTCTGTAGAAAGCTCACTATCTGGAGATAATCTCTCTTTTAGAGATATTCTATTGGGAGATGGGGTCTGATAGAAGAGAAGAAAAACCAAAAAAATATATAAAGACTAAACTGGTTTTAATAATCAGACTACAGGCCTAGAATTCAGTAAGAGATATACTATAAATGGGTTTGGTATACTTAATTCTTATTTTATAAAAGCAGATTTAAAGAGTAATCTTAAAATGAAAGTAAGAATTTCAAAGTAATTACAATGCCTCTTTAAAACTAGTGGATTAAAGAGGCAGGAGGAATGAAATAAGGAGGTGGAATAAGGCTCTTTTGTATTAAGAAGTCTATTTCTCAGCTTCAGTTCTGAAATCTTCCACACTGACACTGAATGGGACATCATCACAGTATAAAGGATGAAAAGCCTCAAACTTTTGGAAAACAAAATGTATACACCCATATATGCTAACATATCACTTCCTAGAAGTATTCATTCTAACAAGGAATATGAAATTAGAGGACAGTTACGGCCTAATTAGCAAGTGGCACAGTGATACATATAGCCTTTTGTATGAAAATGACTTAGTAGCTATATAAATTTTAGATGATAATTTATGAAAGACATTTTAATCCAACAGCCTAATGCAGTGAATGTCAAACAAAGGACAGCAAAATATATGCTTAAATTCCCATTGTTACACATTATACAAAAAAAATCTCTAAAGTATAATGAAATAAAAAACATATGCTATAATAATGTAATACATTAGATACACTAATAAACATTAGTGCTGTTTGCCACAAACAATTATCATAAGACTATCCAATCATTTTCCAATTAAAAATTTTACATGTCAATAAATGCTCCAAATATTTTATAATCTCAGTTTAAATCTTTAGATTTCACACAATCAAGGCATTAATAAATTACAAGTTGAGAGTTTCCACTTACCTACATATATTGTTAAAGCTGAGAAACAAACGTTGAAGGCTGGGCAAATTATCCACATCTCTCTATAAGGAAACAGAAAGCAAAAATATAACAGCTGAAAGAGGGGGGGAAGTACAAATGTCTTCCTGTTCTGCTGTTGAAATATTTAGGCATGTTATTTACTGAAACCTCGCTCCACCATTGATTTCTTCTGGTCAGTGAGCTTCATTTCTCTCCACTGCAGATTAAATGGGAGGGTTTCAGTACATCTGCAGAACAAGCTGCACCACTCACAAGGTAAAAGGCGCTGGAGAGAAGAAAAAGATGCTGCTGCTTGCCTCTTTCAGCATGCTTTTGGGAAAGAAGCCAAAATGCTACTTCAGCATTTCAACTGTAGCACAGTAGAGTATGCTCTAACATTTGTTCAAAATTACTTTTTAAAGAAAGTATGTTCAAAAGCTTTACATTTAAATTTATGCAATTGTCCTTCCAAATAGCAGTGAGAATTTCAGTCATTTACTTTCCTATTCTCAAAACCTTTGAAATATACTACTCAGTTACAAATGAATCAAGGCAACCAAAATTCCCCCCTCCCAAAAAAACTCAAAGTAGATTACAGTGAATGTCAGTCAAGGGCACTTTAAGGGTCATTTCTAATTACAGCCAGTACCAAGAAGTCTTTATATTTGGAAATTTATCCTGGTGGGTTTTGGTTTGTTTTTGTTTTGTTGTTGGTGGTTTGGGTTTTTTTAGGTACAGTACCCCAAAGTGATTGGAAGCAGGAGTGGCATCTACTTCCTAAACAAAATGCCTCCGGAAACTCTATGAACTTCGATAAATGTAGATAGTAGTAGAGGGGCTTCAGGCCTTTTGTTCATACGATCGCTATGAGTTGTTCTCAACTCAGAGGCAATCAACAACAACAACCACCACCCCAAAGTGAACCACTGCTGCCCTTAGCAAATACTGAAATATTTAAGCTCAAATTATTTAAAAAATACATATATACATACTAACAAAGTTACCTAATACTAGTAAGTATGGCATATTATATTAGAGCAACAAGAAGTTTAGTCTACAACCTCATAATTGACCTGAGAAAAAATGACTAGTTAGTAATTAAAGTCACGGGATTGGGGATTTCCCAGGAGTAAATACTGTCCCAGAGGCTGAGACAAGACATGATCTCAGATTCTGGGTCTATCCTTCAAAATACATTGCTACTTCTCATGAAAAATGTGTTTCACTCTTAAGAATAGAATGTAATTTAAAGGAATCCCCAAGTATGTAAGTATGTACATTTTGCATATTATTGTGGCCAATATTTAAACCTAAATCAAAACTTGTTATTTCCATTTCCACATATGCTTATCTTTCTTCCTCTCTCTATTCTTGCTCTCTTTTATAATTTCCAAGTGCTAGTAAGAACTTAGGCATGTATATTAAGATGATATACAAGTATTAATTAAATGTATATCTGTTTTTAAAGCAACTTATACAAAGAAATAAGGAAGTGACAGAATCATGACAAAGCATTTTCTTACTAGTTTGGGGCAGAAGTGCAAGAGAAATTCATCTACTTTAAGATATTCTTCTACCACCCCTAATGTACTTTTCTCCAACAATTTCTCCATGCTTTAAAACCTAAAAGAGTACAAAATTAAAACACAAGCCCATGATCAAATACATTCTTATGTATGCCATTCATTTGACATTATCATTGTCGGATTCAGCACTAAAAATCCACCCAACACAAGTAGATTAGTGATATGTAGAACTTTTCAACCATAGTCAAGGAACACCGTTACATATTCTTTGTCAGAACTGACTCATAGCTGACCCTCCAGGGGGTTTTCAGAGGTTGTAAATAACATGGGAGGAAATTGTCCATCTTTCTCCCATGGAGCAGCTGGTGATTCAAACTGCCTGCCTTTGGATTGGCAGCACAACTCCTTACCTATGAGGCCACCAGGTAAAGAAATAAGGCTGCAGAAAACAAATTCCACACTCTTACCCCAATAGGAATACTTTTTATAAGAAACACAAACAGCAACTATACACATGGACTTCACCTCATGATCTACACAGGTATCAGATTGACTTCATTTGTGGGAATAATTGTTGAAGATGTTCAATATAATCTGTGAAAACTAAGTCGGGTGCTGATTGTGGAACAGATTATCAGTTAATCATATGCAAGTTCAAACTAAAGCTAAAGAAAATAAAATCAAATCCACAAAAGCCAAAGAGTGACATTGAGTCTATTCCTCTTAAATTTAAAGACCATCTCAGGAATAGGTTTGAAGTCTTAAATAGTAATGAGCAAAGATCAGATGAGCTGTGGAAGGATATAAAAAATAACACAAATAAAGAATGCAAAAGGTCATTACCAAGATGCAGGAAGAAGAAAAGACCAACATAGATGTCAGAAGAGACTCTGAATATTGCACTAGAGTGCTGAGAAGCCAAGTAAAGGGAAAAAATCAAGAAGGAGTAGAACAGAAGATTTCAAAGGTCAGCACAGGAAGACAAAGCAAATTATTATAATGAAGTGAGCAAAGAACCCGAGTTGGAAAATCAAAAGCAACAAACTCTCCAGGCATTTCTTAAGCTGAAGAAACTGAAGAACAAACTCAACCCTTGAGTTGCAATACTTAAGGATGCTGTAGGCAGAATGCTAAATGAATGACTCAATAAGCATCAAATGATGGAAGGAGCAAATGAAACTGGTTTCGTATATACTTATAGTATAGCGTTATAGTTACAGTATATAGTTATAGTAGTTATAGTATAACTATACCAAAAAGAATTGGCTGACACAGAAGAATTTCATGAAATAGCAAATGATCAAGAAACAACGGTAATGAAAGAGGAAGTTCAAGCTGCTCTGAAAGAGTTGGCAAAAACAAGGTCCCAGGAATTGACAACATACCAATTGACATATTTTAACAAAAAGATGTTGCACTGGATGTGCTCATGAAGTTGTGCCAAGAAATCTAGAGAACAACTACTTGGCCAATTGACTGGAAGAGATCCATATTTATTGCCATTTTTTTAAAAAAAAAAGGTTATCCTAAAGTGTATGGAAATTATTCATTAATATTATATCCAAGCAAGATCCTGATGAAGATTATCCAAAAACAACTGGAAGAGTACATCTGCAGAGAACTACCAGATGTGCAGGCTGGGTTTAGACGAGGTCATGGTACTAGGAATATTATAGCTAATGTTAGATGGATCTTAGCTGTAAACAGTATTAGAGGAATATCTACTATATGTGTGTCACTGACTATGCAAAGGCATTTGACTGTGTGGATCAAAACAAATTAAGGGAAACATTGAGGAAAATGGGAATCCCAGCACACTTGACAGTGCTCATGTGTAATTTATACATGGACCAGGAGGCAGTCATCAGAACAGAGCAGGGAAATACAGTATGGCTCAATATCAGGAAAGATGTACACCAGGGATGCATCCTATTTCCATATTTTTTTCAGTCTACACACAGGCTCTATATATCATGTGAGAGGCTCTAGATATCATATGAAGAGGAATACGGCATCAGGATTGGAGCAAGACTCATCAACAACCTGCATTGTGGAGATAGTACAACCTTGCGTGCTGAAAGTGAGAAGGACCTGAAGGTGTATGTTGCAGAAGGCCAAGGACTGCAGCCTTCAATATGGATTGAAGCTCAACATCAAGAAAACAAAGATTCTCACCACTGGGCTGCATTATCACAGATGGAGAAAAGATTGAGATTGTTAACAGCTTCAGTTTTCTTGGCTTCCACAATCAACACTCTTAGTACCAGTAGCCAGAATATGAAAAGAAAAATTGTTGCTGTTGTTCTTATGTGCCGTCAAGTCGCTTGCAACTCATAGCGACCCTATGTACAAGAGCTCTAAACTCTGCTCTGTCCTGTACCAATCACACTGTCTCTGCCACTCCCAACCCGATTATCCCAGTCACTGAATCAATCCACCTCATAGAGGGCCTTCC